TATACATTATATGGGCGTTGGTGAGTATATTTTATACGCTATAGCATTTTTGGCCACAACTGATACGAGACGACGGAGAAGAAACTTTTGGTATTATGCTTACATGCGTACACATATTGTATACGGTGCCTACATATTATATCGTGGCTTTTTCACCGAAAGCAACATCGGTATTATAACGATAAACAAGAGTATATACTTGTCTCATGACGTTAATTTTTGTTTCGGATCCACATGCAGGTCATAAAATAACGAAAAGCATATGTACAGTCGCAACGAAACGATCCTCCTCCGCGTTGCGTGTACATGGCACCCCCTTTTATAACGAATAGTGGGACGGGGTGGCGCCTTATGAGGTAAAAAAATCGGTGCACGCCAAAAACGCCCAACTGAACGGACTGAAATTCCAAGAGCAAAGAAAATTATATGGTGGATTATCGCTGCGTGAGAGAGATAACAATGTAATGAAAGTATAGCGATAAGACCCGTAAATATACATACATCGGATGAGGCGCGCGATTCAAACCAAAAGCTCGAACTTGCGGGCTACCGATCGAAATTTCGGGGAAAGGTACATTCGTGCACATTATTATGACGTATATTTGCGGGCGCTTCCGCGAAATCTAACTATATATTTATCATGTACACGCACGTAAATGTATGTATAAGCTCGTGCACCCGTTTGTTGCCGTTTTCCCGTGTGTGTATGTACGTATACTTATAATTATTGTAGTAAATTATTTTCTTCGAGAGCTTTTTTTCTCACTTTGTATTGGAAATATATATAAATAGTAATGATGTGATGCGCCAATGTGGGTTAACAAGGACACCTTGAGATCAAGCGATTTCGGTTTTTTTGTTTAAGATGAGGGAGGGATTTTACTACGTTAATTTTTTATTGGGGGGAGGATGGGGGGGGGGGTCGAAAAGAATGGAAATACAAAAAACGTACCGTTACAGCACCACGTCATGGACACTGAACCTATGGTAAGACACAAGATGCGCTTGGGTGAAGAAAAAAAAAAAAAAAAAAATAATG